AATATGTAATGTATGTATGTATGTATGTATGTATGTATGTATGTATGTATGTATGTATGTATGTATGTATGTATGTATGTATGTAATGTATGTATGTATGTATGTATGTAATGTATGTATGTATGTATGTATGTAATGTAATGTAATGTAATGTAATGTAATTGTAATGTAATGTAATGTAATGTATTGTAATGTAATGTAATTAATGTATGTATGTATGTATGTATGTATGTATGTATGTATGTATGTATGTATGTATGTATGTATGTATGTATGTATGTATGTATGTATGTATGTATGTATGTATGTATGTATGTATGTTATGTATGTATGTATGTAATGTATGTATGTATGTATGTATGTATGTATGTATGTATGTATGTATGTATGTATGTATGTATGTAGTAATGTATGTATGTATGTATGTATGTATGTATGTATGTATGTATGTATGTATGTATGTATGTAATGTATGTATGTATGTATGTATGTATGTATGTATGTATGTATGTATGTATGTATGTATGTATGTATGTATGTATGTATGTATGTATGTATGTATGTATGTATGTATGTATGTATGTATGTATGTATGTATGTATGTATGTATGTATGTATGTATGTATGTATGTATGTATGTATGTATGTATGTATGTATGTATGTATGTAATGTATGTATGTATGTATGTATGTAATGTATCTGTGTATTAATGTATGTATGTATGTTATGTTATGTTATGTTATGTTATGTTATGTTATGTTATGTTATGTTATGTTATGTATGTATGTATGTAATGTAATGTAATGTAATGCAATGTAATGTAATGTAATGTACTGTAATGTAATGTTATGTATGTAATGTAATGTTATGTATGTAATGTTATGTATGTATGTATGTATGTATGTATGTATGTATGTATGTATGTATTGTATGTATGTATGTATGTATGTAATGTATGTATGTAATGTAATGTAATGGTAATGGTAATGGTAATGGTAATGGTAATGGTAATGGTAATGGTAATGGCAATGGTAATGGTAATGGTAATGGTAATGGTAATGGTAATGGTAATGGTAATGGTAATGTTAATGGTAATGGTAATGGTAATGGTAATGGTAATGGAAATGGTAATGGTAATGTTAATGGTAATGGTAATGGTAATGGTAATGGTAATGGTAATGGTAATGGCAATGGCAATGGTAATGGTAATGGTAATGGTAATGGTAATGGTAATGGTAATGGTAATGGTAATGGTAATGTTAATGGTAATGGTAATGGTAATGGTAATGGCAATGGTAATGGTAATGGTAATGGTAATGGTAATGGTAATGGTAATGGTAATGGTAATGGTAATGGTAATGGTAATGGTAATGGTAATGGTAATGGTAATGGTAATGGTAATGGTAATGGTAATGTTAATGGTAATGGTAATGGTAGTGGTAATGGTAATGGTAATGGTAATGGTAATGGTAAATGGTAATGGTAATGGTAATGGTAAATGGTAATGGTAATGGTAATGGTAATGGTAATGGTAATGGTAATGGTAATGGTAATGGTAATGGTAATGGTAATGGTAATGGTAATGGTAATGGTAATGGTAATGGTAATGGTGGTAATGGTAATGGTAATGGTAATGGTAATGTAATGGTAATGGTAATGTGGTAATGGTAATGGTAATGGTAATGGTAATGGTAATGTTAATGTTAATGTATGTATGTATGTATGTATGTATGTATGTGTGTATATGTGTGTGTGTGCGTGGCAGTACAATTGCATGCTTGTTAATTACAAGGCGTGCCTTGTCAAGGCCATTGTCACCACTATCGGCCCCACGAAGCTGCAGATGGCAGCAGCCCCAGCAGCTTCAGAGCCGTTGCAGTCATTTGGGTCTGTCTTTTGTGGGAACCCCTGTTGGGTTGGATTAGAAGGGAAACCAAAAGGACAACCGCCATGTTTGGGGGCCCCCTAAAAAAGAAACACATCCTGGTTTATATAATTAGAGTTGATGCACCAAAGGTGGGGTGCAACACAGCCATCTAAACATAAAGATGACACTATGAGAATGAACCTGGGGATCCCCTCAAAGGACACCTCCATTTCAGCTTCGGCAGGCCGTCAACCCGCTGATCATCAGCTCCGATGGAGTTGAGCGAGTCGTGGCAGAGGAGACGCAGGCAACAAGAAATGGTGGGAGGGAACTTACTGTCATTTTGTTGAAGAAGTTTGGACAGCTTATTTGCCTTTGGTGCGAGACGGAGAAACAAATCAGTTGCCTTTGGTGCGATCGGCAGGCTGACCATACCGTGCCGGCCTCGGATGCCGAGACAGATCAACGCGGCAGGTCTTACTTCGGACACCCCAAAAAACAGGTTTGTGGGCATGAAGCCCCTATGTCTCAGCTTCCCTGTAACTGGTGGCTTGGATTGGTGGTTTGGTGGTTCAGGACGGTTTCCCATTTACCCTCTACAAGAACCAGACCTTCAAGGCCCCAAACCAGCAATCCAAACCACAAACCTGACGGGTTACCTGCATGTCTTGCTGTCATGGGTCCCAGAAGATTTTTTGGCGTCGAAATCGCAACAGGCTGCCGTGGTGGCCAGCATTTCCTGCATTGTCCTCCTCATTGTATCCGTGATCTTGGGCGGGGAGCTCAACGAGTCCTCAAAATTTGCCGACCGTTGGGTTGGTCAGGGTTTCCAATTTTATTCCAGGATCCTGGAAAATCAGTTTCAACGGACACCGCCGGTAAATTGTAACAAGAGGAAATTAAAGGTTAGGGAAAATGCTTGGGTCACATTCCTCAGTTAGCATGTCCCGCCACCGTCCTCTGCTTCTCCTCACGAGGCCTTTGGATGATGAGCCGCCATCAGCGCAAACTCATGGCTGTTCGGGCCTCGGACATGCATGGCATCTCGGGGGAGGGAAGAAGACATGGCATGCAGGTTTGTCTCAAAGCTATCCCCGAAAAAATGGTTTAAAGGGAAGGGACAATTTCGAGCAGAAACTCGACCCTGAGAATTACACGGCCTGAAGACTTTGCGGTATGTGTTGAGCAGAAGGGACAGTATTCTATTGACAGGCAGCCGCTCAAAGCCGATTCTCACATCCTGCTGCAAGAACACCACGATTTCTCCAAGGGATGGCTGTGCAGTGTGGTGAACCTGTAGACAGAAATGAGGCCTAGAGAGGACATGCTCATGTTTGTGGATGGGATTCCTCGTCAAGCATTTGATTGACCGCCTCGGTGGACAACAGTTCCATTAGTGAGGAGTGCAGGCCGTTGAGTCAACAAGATCCATTCAAGTGGATTTCTCAAGATGGGCATCAGCCAAAAACATCTCAGGCAAAGGAGCAGGCGGTGGGGATTGACGTTATAGAGGCTCCGAGTTGTCACAGTCATTGACATCGTCGAAGCAGCGAATGCCAGGACTCGATGTCTGTACAGATGTCACCTTTGTCTATGACAGCAAGATCACCCATCTCACCAATGTCCCCGGAAAGGCGGGGGGAGGGGGCTGTCACTTTTGACCATCTCAGAACGGATAGCAGATAGCCTGCCAGGCTCACTGGCCGCTTTCCCCGTGCTGAAGGTGCACAACCGGGGAACGACGCAACTGAGCTTTTTCCGCAGCTCGAAAACTTCAAGAACGAAGATGTCGAGCCATCTACCCACTTCACAGTGGATTGCTCCAAGAGCGCCGGCATGTGCTGCATTGGACCTCAAGCGTAGTTCACGCGGACTCTTTTCAGAGGCCTTGGATAGTTTACAGCTCTTGCTTTTCCTAACAGGCTTGGGTAGCAGAACACGATGCTTAGGAGTTAATCCTCTTTAGCTTGATCGTACAGGAGGCTGCGTGAACTGCGCTTGAGATCAGTACGGCAGAGGGAGAGTCGCTCCACTCTGGTTAACGTTCCGAGTGCCATCCTAAGGATGGCGGCTTGCTAACGAGATCCGGTAGCCTTCTCAAAGCCATGGGAAGGGCTGGAAACCAGGCAGTCTTTAAGAGAGGCCAAAAGCAACCTGCGCTTTGCCATGGAAGGTGCAGTTTGCATCCAACACAATGTGCTACCTGCTTGCCCTGTCTGGGCTTCGCGGCTCAAGATGACTATAGATGAGCCACAATCAAAATCTGAGAAGATGAAGATTGGCTGGGAGACAATCCCTGAATAGCCTCTTTGATTCTTTCCTTGGGTTTGGGTAGACTCTTCAATGCCAGGTTTTGATTAGATAATTGATTCAGACGCCTATATTTCGGTGCAGGCCTAGCTGACCCATCCCTAGGTAGTCATTCAGAGTTATTCTGTTGCTTCTTCAGCAACTGCGCGGAATGTGTTACGAATGATCCCTTCAGATGGGTATGGGTCAAAATAAAACCACCAATAACCCCTCGGTTTTAGTGTTTGGTTCCATCAGGGCAACCCATGTTCGGGTTACCGCATTTTTGACCCACAGATCCAAATGTGTGCCTTCCTGCAAGCCTCGTTGAAAGCGCAGATCAGCTTCAGCTCATGGAGGTGCCTGGCACCTCCAAGGCGCACATTTGGCCATTCGGTCACGGCTCTTAAAACTGGAATTGGGGAGGGTGATTTCTGGAGATCTCCGTTTGTGGTTCCATGCTCCCTTTTACGGGGGAGACTAGATAAATGGAATTGGGGACCCCCCACGTTTCTTCTCCTGAAGGTAGGGGGGATGGTCACGTTTGGGATCCCAGATTTTTTCGATCGGGGCGCGACAGTTCCACCCTGAGAGATCTGGCCATGCCACAGTTGACGCGAGGCGCTGCTGGATCGAAAATACCGGACATGGCACGAGGCAGCTGGGTGTTCTCTACTTTGGTGTGTCCTTTTTTTGATGCTCCCCTTTTGGGGAGTGGTTTTAAAGGGAAACCCAAGATGAAAACGACCATTTAGGGGGTACCCCTATTTGAGACAACCCACCCCCTGGTTTGACGCGGAATGCAATGACTGCGGAAGACTACGACACGGCGACTTGTTTTGGGCGCTGCTTGTTAACACTTTGTTGATACGGGAGCGCGACATTTTGCCGCGCACTTGCCATGTGTAAGCATTGCTAGCTGACTCAGTGCTGAAATGATGTGTGTTTTCTGTGTGCAGCTCATGCTCTTTTGGACTTTCTCTCTTTCTGTGCGGCCTACGCGCTGGCTCGATAACTGTAGTGTTTCGTGCTGACCTATCTTGGCCACAAAAGTTTCTCTGTGACTGGGAACATCATGTTGCCCAACCAAGTTGAAGTCCAACCCACAGTCTGAAGCCCGGAGAACTCCGAGCTTGACCCTCATGTTCGTTTCCACCATCTTTGTTTCCAGCTTGTGTTGCCCAGGCGTCGATCTACTTGATTCAATTTATTCCACCTGCGCAGTCTGAGGGTGTCTTCGATGGCAGGATTGGCTGCTGCTGGTCCGATTGCAACAGCGCGCGCTGCAGGCGAGTTCCGCCTTCGCTGCGCCCATGATTTTGGTGCGCACAGGGGGAAATGTGTTGCCAGCCAGTTTCTTGCACTTTGTGCAAGAGCATTAATCCTGTGGGCAAGCTTGAGCAGATGCGCTTCAAGTGAACCGTGGTTGTGCATACAAGAAACGCAACACCCACACAAGAGCCCGACACTTCCCGAACGCGCCTACCAAGTGGAAGCATTTTGTCAATGCGGGTTGGATATTGAACCTACCCAATATCCCCTATTTTCTCACAGGGGGGCTACGCAATTCGAAGCAACAAGTAATATTATCCGTGGCTCACATGTTTCAGGCAGACATCTCCTTGCATCACTCGACTTTGCGGTCAGCTCACTGGGTGGCTTGGATCTGCATGCGCTCAGAGCTCTGTTGTTCGCCCGAAAATGAGCATGGTCTGTCAAAACAAATACAATTTGGCCAGAAGCTTGACTTTGGAAGCGAGAGGCTTGCAGTTTCTTGGCTTCTAAAATGGAGGGCATGAGTTGGCAACATTTGGGCAGAAGCATGGAGCTTCCTTAGCATTCTCTGACTGGATGGTCAGTCATTCATATCCCCAGGCCGGGCGCGTGCACTCATCGCCTCGAGGCCTTCTCCGCCCTGTTGCTGCAGAAGTTCGTGGCCACAGAGGCGAAGCGCGCGGCCAAATGCGCGGTGGACGACGAAACGGGACCGGCCAGGTGAGCTTCGGCTGCGCGCTGACAGCTGTGGCCAGGCGGACTGAGCTTGTCAAAGGAAGCTCAGTGTGGAATCCCCCGCCCGTTTCTGAGACCTGAACACCTTACAAACTCCAGGTTGCTACAGGAGGAATTTCAATATTGCCAGCGCAAGCTAGACTGCACGGCGATGGAAGGATTGTGCCAACTTTTCACCCTCCGCTTTGTTATTCCTGAGAGCTGTGTCGACTTTGACAATGTGCAAACCCTTGCGATTTGGACAGCTCTGAAAGGACCCACAAGCTCTTAGTCGAAGGGGCACGCTGCCCGATGCTGGTGCAGGGGTTCAGCCTTGAATTGGACAGCATGTTCAATGTTCCCAAGTTGTGTTCGACATCATAAACGGCAGGTTGTGATGCAGTAGAGATCCATCAGAATACACAGAGACTGGGTTGACCAATGCCAATGTTGGCATCCGGCACAGGGAGCAGCTAGCAACTTGGGCGACCTGCTTGAGCCTCCTGCAGGCCATTTGCAAAGCGTTTGTTGGTTTTTGCGTAGAAGAATGCCCTGTTCACCTATGACTTAATGACATCGGCCTGGGCCCGCTATGTTTTACTGTCTTTGTCAATTTAAAGTGGGGTTGATTGAACACCTTCGCAATTGCAGTTTACGCAGTCAGGGCGGGGTGTGTCTCAAAACACTGCAAAACGGCAAGGGGGAGAAAGAATCGATAACGTTTCGAGGGAGCAGCCAAAGTGTACCACTTGTACTGACAAGTTGCGATGTTTGAGCTGGAGGTGTCAAAGTGTACTTCGCATATCGCGCTTGCCAAAGTGTACTTTGTGTGCGCCACTTGTGCTGAACAGTTGCGAGCTTTGGGCTGCAGCAGGAAAACATGTACTTCGCGTACCACGCTGGCGCTGAAAAGTTGCGATTTGCAAGCTGGAGCTGCGGAAGGCCGTTCGCGTACAACGCTGCAAAACAATGCAGGCGATAATGGCAAAAGAGTGCCAGCGAAAAGCACTAAGTGGGCTTTTGTTCAAGCCCAAGTTATTTGATTTTCTTATTGTTGCCTGCCAGCTGGGGGCGTCTCGGATCAAGTGGCCGTGGGCCAGCTTAAAGTGATTTTCCTTTGGGGGGGGGGTGATGTTTAAAGACGACAGAATCGGGAGCCCCCGTAAGCTCCGACCTGTTTGACAGGCTTCCCTGGCCGCATCGTTCCTGAGCCTCATCTCGCAACGCCCTCGGTGACATGCACAACTCTTCCACGCAAGTTGACTGACGCCAGGCAAAACATTGTCATTGCAGCTTGCGGCAAGGCGGCCTTGTGGAGAAGGCTGCGCTTCTTGCCACCAGGCCCGGGATGGGTTAGCCGTGCGGTGAGCGTCAGTGCAGGTCGCTATCGCTGCTGGTGGCATCTTCCTTGCAGCGGTTGCAGCCAAGTGCTTCGAGCATCGGAGGGCTGCTTACGGCCTTGGTCTGCCCGGCCTGCTTCGGGGATGTGTTATGCCGTCCAGAGTAGACTTCTGGAGGAGCGAGGTGGCGCTTGGGTGCGGGGCTCAACTTCGGTAGGTTGCTTGCTGATCCCCAATTGCCCGAGGCTGCAGCTCTTGACGTGCTCAGCCTCGCCAGATTCCAGCCCAGCTGGATTCATGGAAGGAAGGCTGGCTGCGCAGACGGAGAGAAATAGTAAGAGTCGGATGGCGGGATCAAGAATCAAGGTTGGGCTTTAGCAGACGTTTAGCAGGAGCCAAGCGTTTATTTCTGATTTCACCTCCCTGGAGCTGCAGGGCGGCGTCGTGTCGGTCACCTGGAACGTGGCTGCCTGAGCGCTGCCTGTCAGAAGGCGCCCCGCCAGTGCTTCGTTGGCCATTCTCAGATTGGCGTAGCTTGTCAGGTGTAGCCGGGCAACCCTTCCCCTGATCTGGTCATATTACCTGTCAAAAGTGGGTCTCCTGGGATGCCTTTAGCGGGAACCAACGTGGCGCTCGGGCACATGTCCCATTCCAGGTGAACAAAACGGGGAGCGGGGAGCGGCTCGTTCCGCGGCTCGCATGACAGCTTGAATGTTCAAGCTACTGTTGTATGCCAACCAGCCCCACAAGTCCCACATATCACCACGATTATCCAAGAACACCTCAAAATAGACCCCAAGAGAAAAGGGGTACCCAAACCATCCCTTTCGCTTCTCTCAAGCCTCTTCTAAACCATCGTGAATCGTAAGACTATTTTGAGAACCCCGCGGCCCAGGCCGGAATCAGTGCCTGCGCGGCCGGCGGATGGAAGTGGGTTTGGCGCCACGGAGGTGTCGAGACCCAAAACCAAAGGGATTGCGAAATCCGGGAGTGTTTGAGGGTACTCCTTTTGGAGTGTTTTTGTTTTTGTTTTAAAGAAAACCAACAGGAAACCAACCATTTTTGGGGATTCGTCGATTTTGACACACACACACACAGTCATCCGAAACAAGTGTTCAAGAAACTGACTCATTGGAGGCCCCCCAAGTCTTTTGACCGAGTGGCGCAAGGTGCTGGTTGGGGGGCGAAGCGGGGGGGACAATGGGGGCTTCAGGCTGTGCATTTGGTCGAGGGCGACGTGTGGAGAGGCGATGGAAGGGCGGAACGAACGCATTCGGGTGAAACAACCAGAGCTGGGCTCCTCAAAAAGGAGCCCTGAAGGAGGATGCTCAAATTCTTTGCTCTTGTATTTGGTGGGTGAGTTTAGACTACATGCTGGAAGGTCAATTCCTGACATGCGGAGATGCACAACGCAAACTTGATTTTGCGCTTCATAGTTAAGGCATATCGAGGGACAGCGTCGGCACGGCCGGAGCTGACCTAAGGCTGCAGCCCGGAATTAGTTAACGAGTGTCTGGTCGTAGTTTCATGGATGCAGTTTGGAGGCAGTCGTCTTTCAACCGTCCGTTTTTGAGAAGCACCTGCGTTCAAGGCTTCAACAAGGCTCTGGCTGCCTGCGGGGAGGAGACTTGGGTTGGGCTCTCAAGTGGACTTCGCGCGAGCGCGAGACTTCGGCGGTTTGATAGTGGCCCCAGGTCGTCGCGGTTCGACTCCTCCGGCAGTTGTTCAGGGCAGGTACTGGCCTGAGACTCTGAGACCGGAGTCTTGGTCCCTGTGAGATTGAGCTGTCTTCGAGTTGATTGGAACGGTCAAACTGCCCAGCATGTTTTGTCCCTGGGACCAGCATTGTGCGGACCAGCGAGGGAATCAAGATCATCGCCGGTTGCAATGGTGTTTCTGCCACGCACCCTGAATGGGGCGGTTTCCTATCTAAAAGTCTTGGAATACTCTCCAAGACTTCGGAAGCTACGGAACCCTAGTCTCGCATTGCCAATGATTGCCAGAATTGGTTCTCAGGCTTGTTTCCGGATACAACCAATTCGCATTTTCTGAGCAGCCCTTCCTATGGTTGTCAGGGGTCCCTCAATAGGGCCCTCCCCAATCCCAATAGGGGCTAGCGGCTAGCGACTAATATGGTTCCCAAATTTGGGGACCATTTCCAGGGGTCCCCTCTCGGGTCCCTGACAACTAACTGACAACCCAAAAAAACCCTGTTGGACAAAGAAATAATTTCCCCGATGTTTGGTCTGTGGAGCCCCAAACGCAACGCGCTTCAGGCCCCGAGCCGGACACCTCCAGCCTGTGCTCTGCGATGGGTGCTCAGCTTAGCTTCCGGGTTTATGCCAGGGTTGGGCAAAGATTGGTTCGAACATTTGGGCCCGGGAAGCTTTGCAGGGGAAATCCAAGAGGGACTGCTTCAAAGATAGATATGGTGGTTTGAAGCATGTTCTAAAGAGTGGTTGGCCCAACCCTGATTGTAAGCGTTTGGGCCAGGCTTTCCGTGTTCACTTCCTGCAAGGTCGTGGCTGCTTTTTGCAAGCAGGATCCAAGCTTTCCCTCCCCCCCCTCTTTGGAATCGATTGATCCGCTGATGACGTCGGGTGAAGACTCCGCCCCGAAGAAGATGGCCAAAGCGGAGGACAGCTTGGTGAAGGTGAACGGCAAGAAGCTGAGGGCTGGCACCATCCCCTGGAGGCTTGCAGATGGGAACCTGGAGCTGCTGCTGATCGAGGGCATCAACACCCCTGGGCTGTGGTCCTTCCCTGCTGGATCCCTGGACCCAGGTGAGGAATTGTCCGTTTGCGCCTGTCGTGAGACTCAGGAAGAGTGCGGGGCTTCCGGGCTGCTGGGCTGTTTCCTGGGTTCCTTTGAGCAGGAGAAGAGCATCAGCTACATCTTTTTGCTGCAGGTCACTGCGGTGGAGGACGAGCAGAATCCCATTTGGCACGACCCGGACTCCTCCTACACCAACGGCGCGCGCCAGCGCCGCTGGTGCAGCCCCGAGGTGGCCATGCCGCTGCTGAAGAAGGACGGGCCTCAGATGCTCGAGGCCTTCCTGCGCGTGCCACCCCCTCAGCGCTCCTTGCGCAGAGTACGTTTCAAAAACGAGCTGCGCCTGTTCCTTCTGGGAGGCGGGGTGCCCGACTGGACGTCGAAGTGGTTGCGTCCCTTTTGTTTGGAGGGTGCCCCTTTTTGAGGTGGTCCAAAAGGCAACCAAAATGAAACGTACTCGTACCAGTTGGAGCCTGTTCTTGTTTTGCCTTTTGCACAGATGGGGCTAACGAGGGACGGCGATTTTCGTGCAGGTGACGATGCGCTCATGCAGCATTGCGATAAGCATGGCCAGCTCCTCGCCGCAACCGGAGCCCTGCGTTCCCAGAGCTACACGGAAGCGCAGAAGTTTGCCGTGGTGTCTGCCGCACTTTGGGAGGCTGATGCCGTCATATGTGCGGGAGGCATGGAGGCGGGCCTATGAAGGGCGGTTGTCATGTACTGAGAGAGCACTGGCTCCAAACTATGAGGAACCTTGTGCACCAGCATGCATATCCTTAGAGCTAAGGAGGCGATTTGTAGGTGTGTGCCCAAAATAGGGGCCCCCTTTTTAGGTTTCCGTTTGTGAAAGATCGATTGGCATATCGCACGTGGCAACTGGCACCAGTGCTGCTCTTGAAGGTTTTCTACGGGGCTGCTCTGGCATCCAGCAGCCAAAGCCCGACTCTGCTGCTGGTTTTCGGCAAGCCGGAGATGCCTATGCTGCTGAAGGGAGATTCTCGCATCACCACGCACGACCTCACAGGAAGTGCCTGGACTGCAACAGAGTAAATCCTCCATCCGCATGGGATGCGCGATGCTTGATGCAGATATTGAGCTGCCTCACGTTGTGAGAACGGAAAGCAAGGTGCAACGGATGCCTATGGTCAGAGCCTGAGTTGTGAATGAAACACGCGGCCAAGTCCAGCCAAATGTATGCGACATGAGGATTTGTGGACGAGTTTCTCCAGAAGCTCCACTCCAAACAGCGCAGATTGACGTAGGTATCTCATGCCGCTCGAGGTCCAGACGGAGGTCCAAGCCAGCCTCACCTTCGTCGCCGGAGTGCCATCTAGGCTGTGGCATCTCCTGGACTGGAAGGCCAAATGCCCCGCTGAACTTGCCCGGCCAAGCTGCGCTCTGCTGGAAATGAGCGGGCGACTCTGTCCTGAGATGCTGGCCTAGAATCTTGCGTCAGCCAAGTTATCACCAGCTGTGCAAGCCATTCCCGGATTCCCAGCGGTGGAGGGTAAAATGCGATTGGGAGAAATCAGTACACAACACGCAAATGGCGTATGCCAGAATGGGTATGGGTCAAAATTAATCCACCAGGATGCGGACCGCAAGTTGGTAAGTTTTAGTCCTTTCCATTTACCAGGCTTCAGGTTTCCCGGTATTTTTGACCCATCTGGGGGTTGAACCCATTTCAGGGTGTCCCTCCAAATTTTTGGACCGCCGCCACCAGCCAAATTTCCCCAGGCGCCTGCGCTGCGGGGCTCGCCTGGGTGTGGTGCCTTCAGCTGCTGGCGGCCGCGGGTGCCTGCGGCCTGGCCACCGACTCCGCCAGCCGCCGGGCCGGCGCCAAGGCCTTCGAGTGGCGCTGGACGCTGCGGCTGCTGAGGCCCGGCCGCCAGGCCGCCAGGTCCTCGGGAGGGTCTGGGTATGGGTCAAAATTAAACGACCACAGGTTTTAGTCATTGTTTCCATATACCAGGGTGCCATTTGGGTATCCACTGCCATCTCCTTGGAAGATTCCGAGCCAAGGCGATTTGATGAAGGCGTCTTGCGGGACAGGGGTGTAAAAGGGGTCTATCGCTCTGGCTTGTCCAGGTGGAAGGTTTGATAGGGAAAAGCATAGGGGCAAAAGGGGTCTATCGCTCTGCCTTGAGATGAGCGTGTCCTGTGAGATCCACTTTTGCCAGGAATTGCGAGCGCTCAGCGCGCACCACCTCTGCGATGATTTCTGCCTGTTCCTGGGAGCTTGGCGCGGTCGCCATGGCGGAGGCAGCGTCCTTCTACGTGGAGTCTGACGTCGCGATGCACAATGCGGCCTTGGGCACTCTGGCAGGCCAGGTGACTTTGGCAGTCGAGACAAACCTCCGGCCATGTTCCTCGTTTCTCCAGCTTCCTTGGTCCTTGGTCCTTCTGCTGCTGCCGCTGGTGGTGATGGTGGTGATGGTGGAATACTAATTCTTGTGTGAGGTAGCTGCGGTGCACCAGTAGGATCAGGAGTGCACTTTTTCAGCGGGGGGGGGGGGTCAGCACGCTTTGTTCTGGCCAGCTTTCAGACGGCTAGCACTGTTTGCAACCAAGGAATTGCATGATTTGGCCGGGGTGGGAATGACTTTTATGTTTGCATTTGTTTTGCAAGGGCGTTCAGATCTCCTGCGTCCATAAGCACAAAACACCCTACGACAGGTCGGTTTTCATCAGTTACCAATCCAAACCACCGAACCGGGCTCCAAACCGCTTAAGCTAAAACATGAGCTTCGGCCAGGTGGCCACCAGTGGCGGGCCACCTTTCACCTGGCCCAACACCCTCGCCTGCGGCCCCGCCTGCGCCGGACGCCGGCGGCGGCCAACGCGGTGGCCGTGGCGGCGGGGCGGGGCAGGTGCTGGGCGCTGGCCTTGCAGGCGCTCGGAACCGCCGACCAAATTGTTTTTTTTTTTTTGCGTCGAATTTTGGGAGGGGCCGGGTTCCCCAAAAGGAATCGCCGGGTTCCACTTTCTGGCCCCGAAGACCAGAAAAGAAGCCATGCCTTTTCACTGTTGGGAAGTGGACCATCGGGTTTAGGTCGGTAATCCAAAAGTGGGACCCTGATGAAACACAAGACCGACCCGGAGTTGCTGTTACATGCCTGCGGGAAGTGGGTGCTGAGTTGCTTTTTACAAGAACAAAAACGCAATGATACCCACCCACGGCTTCCAGCAGCAGTCGAACATTCCGAAACCTCAGGGGTGTGTTGTGACAAAGAGCACAAATTGAGTAGTTCGGAGCAGTGGTTTAGAGAATAGGTTTCTTCTCACAAGCAAGAAGGGATCCTGGTTTGACCCGGTTACCCAGTTTGAGATTCGCGTTGAGGTTTGGGTGCGTATTTCCACACGGTTTCGGTTCAACCCGGGAATGCTCTTTTTTGTGCCGGAGCAGTTGCATGTCCGAAGCTTTTAGGACGGGGACCAGGACACCAGAAATGCAGACCATTTTTTTTCGCTGGTTCGATAGGCAGGGAATGAGGGAATGACCTCTGCAAACACTGCCCTATAGTTTCTCTAGGTTCATTCCCAACACCCGGTCTCGGTCATTCCCTACCTTTCGCACCAGCATGGGGTTGGACTCCTGTGCCATAAGTGTTTTTTAGTCTGAAGCTCCGGCAGCGACCTGCAGGAGCTTCCTCAGGATGCCTCCGCCCTGGGGGCGGTGGTCTCGGCCTGCGCCGAAGCGCGGCGCTGGAGGAGGCCTGGGGAAGGGACTCAGGGGCGTGGCGGGGCTTGGAAGAGTGGCACCCAGTCTTGGGCCCTTTGGCTGGAAGGAAGCCAAGACCCAATTTATGTGTTTTGCCTAGCTCTTGAATGTTGAGCCACACCCATTTTTTCCCCAACTGAAAGCAAGCTCCGGAGCGGTACGGAGCAACTCTGAGGGAGGCATAGAGCGGTTGGGCTGCATGGCGGTTGCTCTGGATGTTTCCAGAGGGTTTGGGAGGGGTCTTTCTGGAGGGTTGAAGAAGGCTTTGGGGTTGTATGGGGCAGTTGCCGCATGGGTTCTGGAGGGTTCCGATGAGTTTTACAAGGGGTCGGAGTTGGCCTGGTCAAACACCACTTGGGCTCCCTCGCTAGACCCCAGCTTTCGTTGTACTACAGCCCCGCACCGCCAAAGGCAAAGAAGGCCTAGCACTGCGCGCGAGCGCAAGAAAGCGTGCACGCGCAGCTCAAAGGGGCGTACAAGCCATGTGCAAGTGCACTGCAAGGCATTGGGACTATGCATATGTTCAATGTATTTTCAAGGGATCCACCAATACACATTATGCGCGCGCTTGAGCTTGCGCTTGCGCTCGAACAAGAATTGCAAGCCACATGATTTAGTCGGCAACCTTGCAAGGGGCTCGAAGTTGAATTCGCAGGTGCCTGCAGCTGCTCTCCCTCCCGAAGTTGGACAGCTCGCTGGCTGCTCACAATGCGGAGGGCTTGGTTGGTGTGGGGATACCTCCAAATTCGTTTTGTTTCGTGTTCCAACACGTCTTTGATGGCCAGCGGTGGGTGGGGGGTTGGCTGGAGGCAGTGATCACGACGCTGGGTAAGCAGACGCTGTACGACAAGGCGCAATGGCCTAGATATGGGCCAATATGGGTGTGTGTGTGTGTGTGTGTTTTTTGAAGGCTCCCTTTTCGCAGTGGACTACCGGGAAACCAAAAGGACACCCGCCGTTTTGGGGTCCTATTTTGACCAATATCCAGATGTTTCTAAGGCGCACAAACCCAACAATTTGTTGTTTAAAATATTTAAAGTCATAGCCATGGCCTATGTCTCAAGCTTGGTGGCTTTCCCAAGGGAGCAACCTGGGCAATTCGAGGGAACCGTCCGTGCCACAAGGCGCCGCGATTGAAAAACGGTTTCGGGCAGACTTCCCTGAACAAACCAGGTGTTAGGTGTTGGTTGCCCTGAGCGCTCAGGCCTCGAAGCTGATGCGAAAGGTGTGCTTGAGACTGAGGCTGCGGGTGAGAGGCCGTGGTTTTCCAAAACGTTTTGCTTGGCGAGGCCCAGCATTGTCACCTTCAATGCAGCCGCAGGCTTGGGAGCATGCGCTGGTGGCCCTGATCAAAAAGTAGATCTGCCAGCATGTCGGCCATTTCGGGCTTTCCAGTTTTGTTGAGGCTGCCCCAAATCGTCCAGTACCCTTTCTTTGCCCCTCGAAAGATCGGCCCATTCGGCTCTGGACTGTTTTGTGAACACCCGAAAAGATTGTTGGTAGTTACGTGAATCTACGTGTCGTCCTGTCCACCAAAATGACTGCTCACACCCATGCATTGGCCCGCACACACACACACACACACACATACACTTCCTGGATGCCGTTGGGACAAGGTTTTTGGGCATGTCATTTGAAGCCCTGGATGCCGGTCTGAGGCCCTGGATGCCGTTGGCACCTCCGGCCGGACCCGGGGCCTGCTGCAGGCCCTGGGCTGGGCAGTTCATGACGTCCGATTGAATGACCGTGTTTATACTCTACGTGGGTTGACATTCCAAGTCCACCAATATGTCAATTCATTTCCCATTCTCCGGTTTATTGGCGGATGGTCTCAACCCGCGCCTTGTGTGCGGGCCTGTATTTCTGCTGCGCTTTAGGGGTATCTTCCTTGGGGGATTGTCAACCGGTCTCATGCAGGATCGAAGCGGATTCGGCTCCTCCCCTGATTTGTAGGTTGCCACTCAGACGTGGGCGTCGTTTCCGTACGTTGGAGCAGATTCGCTTTGCGTCAAGCAAGGCGATGCACTTGAGAATGGTCCAGCCGGACGAGTTCACGCCTTGGACCCAGTCGGTCTCCGTTGAACTGTGAATTTTGGGGAGCCCCTTGCGATTGGTTTCAGGGACACCAAGCAGAAGCAAACTTTTCTGGGTGTCCCCTCATTTTGATCTCTTTCTGCATAGAACTTCTTAATACATTAATAACCCATATTATTTATATATGATAAACACATAATAGTAATACTTTTTAAATGTATATGTAATAAACTCAGGTCATATCCCCAATACCATCCGATATGATTTTTAATGCTCGTATGGACCACTCCACAACGAACTAGTTTGGATACCTGGCCAGGGTGCGCTGCAGCCCAGGTACTACTATGCCATTAGCGCTTGTGATGGCAGCAGCAGCCTCAATGAGCAAGATAAGAACCGTAGGCAAGATCCTGTTGCATGAATTGATTCCATGCCTTTGTCAGAAGCTTTTCAGAAGCCTGTTGACTCTTGTCGCGGGGATTGCGTTTGCTCATTTGTGTTTGGCTGGACCGTTGCCTTTTGGTTGGCCTTCGAAGGGAAACAGGGAAGCCGTTGCCATTGGGGTCCCCCGTTAGGCTCACCCATCCCTTAAATATCGATTTCGGCCAGGCCCCCCGGGAGCGCTAGCAAGACGTTTGCTCGCACAGGCGGAGTCCCGGAGAGAGATGATGTTGCAGGTCAAGGTCAGGGGTCCCTTGTACATATATACATGTCATCAGTATTCTAATATATATATATATATATATTTATACATATATTTCATCTTGTTCATGTATCAATCTTTGCAAAACATGTGTGTGCATGAATTGGATCGGTCCGAGGTAGGTTTTCCTTCGAGGATGCTTCTCAGCCGCCTGTCCCTGAAGTTCTTTTGCCACCTTGTCCGACGTGATAGAAGGGCCCACCTGAGAGGTAATACCCGCCTGGCCTGGGCCTCTTTTGACTGCTGTCCCTTTGAGCCGTCGCTGCCGTCTATCTCTCCTCCTGTCTTTGTGTCTGCCAAGAGCGCTTCCCGTAGGTGTAGCTATGGGACTATCGCCATCATGCATATGCATGTGCTGCAGCTGTGTAGGCTCTTCACTATGAACAAAACAACAAACACGTGTCCAGATGGGGTGATGCGCGCTATGCTCAGCACAAGACATGGAAGCAGGGACAGGAGCAGCAGTTTGCTTCCGTTGCCTCCTTAGTTAGTGTCACAGTTTTCTTCCGGCGCTTCGCGAAAACACTAGCAATTCAGGTACGTGAGGTACATGAGGTATATGTTGCATCTTTTCTCAACCACCCCACTTTCAGATTACTTTTGCCTCAGAGCTGGCTGCAGACGTGTCTGCCTGCACATTGAGCGGGCCCCAGATAGGGGGCCATGCCAGATCGCGTCCTAATGCTCGAATTGTGTGGTAGCATGCCACAAGGCTCTGGATGGAGTTCGAAGACAAGAAATATTTAAGGAGCTGGTAGACAGAGATTTGTATCGAAGTCTGTGTAACATTTGGCCTCAAGATGGTTTCTGGATTTAGGCTTGCACGCGCTAGGACAAAAGGTCTTCATCCCGGTAGGGAGCCAGGAGATAGGGGTTCACGGTGAGTTTGTGGGACGAAGCGCTGGCACTTGGCACGCGCCAGGAACTTGCTGTTTCAAGCATTTCGCCAGCCGCGGCACTTTGGCATCTTCTGTTTGGGTCCCGAGGCAAGGTTTTCTGAAGGCACAGATTCTTTCTCAAGGCAATTCTGCCAGGCAATGGCTTGCAATGCTGCTGGATCAGTGCCGCGCGCTTGGTCCGCGAAAGTCATGACAGGGAGGGAGAGAGAGAGAGGGAGAGAGGACGGAAGAGAGAGAGAGAGAGAGAGAGAGAGAGAGAGAGAGGAAGGAAGAGAGAGAGAGAGAGAGATAGAGCGAGAGAGAGAGAGAGAGCGGGACAGAGCGGAACTAGAAGAGGGAGGGAACAACAGCCAGCAGCCCGACCGAGTCGGAAGCGGCGCTGTATTTGCGAAGCTCATGGCAAGCCCTGACACTGTCATAGTGAACATAACAGTGTTGCGCTCAGTCAATGATGCTGGAACGTTCGGGGGGAGCTGTTGGAGAATGCAGATTGAGGCGGTGGTCAGTGTGCTGTTCTACATCCGCTGTGTACCAGAGCTCCATATGAATTTGACGTGACAGCCTGAGGACAATGGGGGGCCTGGCCAGCGTTTTGAGAGAGGTGTGAGTCTCACAGATTCGGCGCAAGCGCACCCGAGGTGGACGGCTATCTCCTTCGCTTTGGCATTCCCTTTGCAAACTGCTGTAAGGCTTCGGACCTAGCCTCCTGCCTGTTGAGACGGCTTGGCGGACCAAGGGAAGCCTACAAGCGACGAGAGGCACGAGACCTTGCGAGCGTCAGCTCTCTATGAGGGTGATGAAAAGGTCCGTTTTCATAGGATGACCATTGGTTGGAAAGTTACTAAAAACATTTGATGTTTCCACTAAAAGGACAAATGATCGGGACCGAAGGGAATATTGATCAACCGTGTAGCCCCTGGGCACCTGGGCACCCATGCCCATGTCGGATCCAAAGTGGCATGCAATGCGGCCACCAATCTGGTGCTGGAGGCCCGAAAATGGGAGTTGCCCCTCCCCGCCCCCAATGTGTTTGGCTCGCCTTTTCTGGGATGGTGCCCCTTGTTGGGTGGCTTTCAAGGGAAGCCAAAGGAAAGCCATCATTTTGGGGGGTCCCCCCCAAAAAAGACACCCACATATCAAGTTGCAGCAGATGCTTCCCGGAGTAAGAGTTTTGTCTCGCCCCTGCCGATGTGCCAGGCGGCCTTGATGGCAATAGCTGACTTTCGGGCAACAATGCCAGGGGCTCCGAGTTGCCTCCTTGCAGAGCTTGGCATCGTTCTATGGGTCAAAATTAAACCGCCGGGGGACTGCAGGGATTGTCGTCTTTGGCTCCATTTGCCAGGGTTGCATTTTTTGACACCCGCAGCCTTCTCGCCGAACTAAGGATGAATGTCTTCTTGGCCAACCAGGTTTGGGATTGGCCCGGGGTGCGCCCCGGAGAGCAGTCTCTGGATTCGAGCTGCCATCGGTCTTGCGTGAGAAATGGCGCACTGAGGCAGACGGCTGGTATGGACGGGCAGAAGACAATGTGCGGCAGACTTATGATTAGGGCGAGTGGCTAATGTTGGCATGCCTATCAAGATGTGTCTCTGCGGACAGGCCCAAGGAAGACGGTGGACATGGCAAGAAGAAGGGGTCACAGACTCAATGAGTTTGTGCCAGACTTGAGCCTTTTTCAGTATATGGACGCTCCTGACGTAGGTAGGTAGAGGACCAGTCTTTCTTTTCATCTCTCACGGTTTGTGGCATGCGAGCTAGGTCATTCAAAGACACACCCTTGAGCCACCAACATGGTGACCGGGCGGCGACCTGAGTTAAATTGACCCAAGGGGTCCGTCCGAAGCTGACGCGCATGAGTGGGCCTCCACGTTGTAGGTCTTCAATCTCCTGATCAGATTGGTAGATGCTCTGCAGGATACTTTCGCAGACGCGCGGTCGCACGCGGTCGCGCGGTGTTCAGACCGTTTTTCGAGACCTGGGGGAAGTTGCAGCACATGTCGATGCCTGATGTTTTGATACTGGCAGCTGGAGTTCGGACTGTGTCTGTCATTGGTTGTCACTGTGGGTTCACTTGCTGCAAGAGCAACATGCATATTGACCCTGGACTACGTGTCTTTGGGCGCCTTTCGCGGCCTGCGTCATTTGCAACAATGGGTATGGCGCAAAAAAGTGTTCTGCCACCTTTTTGGGCTCTGAGCTGTGTTTTCAGCGAGCGCTTCTGCGCAGGACAAGTTTAAAGCACTTTTTTTGCCACCTGTTGTGCAAGACATTTCCAAACGTGCAAACCAGCGTGGCTGGTGGCTTTGTCCTTCAAGCGCGCTCCGAGCGTGTGCTCTTCACTTGGCATGCTATTGAGCGGTTGTGCTTATCAGTTGGTAGCTGTGTGTGTGTGTGGTGCAGTGCCGTGCTTTTGAGCGTGCGTGTTTATCATCTGGCAAGCATTTCGGGTGCACATCGTTTGGCAGGCGTGTGTGTGTGTGCGCAGTGCTGAGCGCGCGCTCTTATGCGGGTGCGCTTATCTTGTGGCAGGCGTTTGCGCAGTGCTGAGCATGTGTGGCCCCAGACCCGCGAATGGAGAAGTGCACCAAAGCAACATGTCGGATGAGTTGTTTTTCTAGGGAGAGTGAAGGCCCTCTAACATGGGGCACCCGCTTTCGGGACCCAGCGCGTAGGAGCTCTTGCTGGTGCCACGGAGGGGCAGGAGCCGCAGGTGCCTCAGCTGTGGGCGCGGAGAAGCCACGTAGAACAACCCAACTAACCATGCTATGCACCAACCGACATCTTTCCTTCGGGTGCTTTTCCCGAGGCCAGGAGTTCTGCGTTTGCATCTCCCCGGAGAAGGAGCTGGTGGAGGCAGGGTCCCAGGGACCGGCCGAAGCGGCCGGGTTTCGTGTGCTTTCAGGAAGCCGAGCTCAAGGGCCGCATCGTGGCGCCCGGGCACCAAACACGCCGAGCCCGGCGAATCGGGTTGAGTCGGAGCGAAAGGACGCCGAGCCCGAACGCAGGTTGAAGCTCCTTTCGCGGCTGCATCGTGCCGTGGAGGCCCAGAACTCTGGAAGTTGGGGTTGTGTGTTTGGTTTGGGTTCCATCAGTTTTGGGAGTCAGGATTCCCACCGAGCAGGGACACTTAGCACTTGTTCCCGGGTTCACTGCAGTTCCTTTCCTCCACTGATCACATTTTTGGGCACTCACAGAGCTCGGACAGGATCTCAAAGCTGCGGGGATGCCAGCAAACGAGGCGCGGAGGTCTGAATCACTGGGTGCGTGGTCTGCCTCAAGGGGTAACCAAAGTGCTTGTTTTGTTTTGTTTTTTTTTTTCCCCCGTTTTCCTTGCCTTAATTACTTGCTGGTGCTCAGCAGGGAAACCAGAGGGGATTCCCTGCTCATGGAACCAGCAAGCTTGCCAATCCCCACAAAGGTTGCCCGCCTCTAGCGAGGGCCCATGGCGGTGTTGTGTTGCGTAGGCCAGCCGAATCAACCAGTACAATATGTTCCTGTGTCGAGACTTCGAAAAGTTATGGAGCCGGAGCCTCAATTCGGCCAATTCTTTACTGAACCCAAGCGAGTGCCATCGGGTAGGCTACAAGACGTATCGCACACCCACGACTTTGCGGTCCGTGTGCAGGGCCTTTGCCTTGTGACTGGCTGCTGCAGATGCAGATTTCAAGGGGGCCGACTGAGGTGAGCATCCAGCTTATGCCGTTCTTTTTTGGGAATCTTGACTGCACCATGTTGTTTGTTTCTCAGGTCATGCTTGTCGTGTGCCAAGAAGAGCTTAGGTTTTGGGATGAGTCTGTTGCATTCTGTTTGTGTCTTGGGTACACACCACTGTACTTTGTCCATGCTTTGCTTTGACACGCTTGGCAGTTGCACGGGATGCACAGCAGTGACAGAAGGCAGCCGTCTTTCAGGAACCCAAACTAAAGGATGCTGTCCCAGAATGACAGTGGGCAACCGAGGCCGTATTATGTTCACCTGGTGGTGGGTTTGAGGCTTAGACTTGCTCAGTTCCTGTGTTGCCTCCTTTCTGAGTTGAAGGGTCTACACACAGAAAGTGAACTGAGATCCGAAAACCGATGAAGTGTCTCGCCAGCGCTTGATCTTCGCCTGCGTGTTTTCCTGCCGCGCCGGCCTGCCTCAACCGTGCCAATTTTGCATCCTGAGAGCGTTGTCCAACTTTTCAGCGCGCCAGGCCTGATTTCGACCATCCTAGTAGCACTTTTGAATGTGGCCGTCCACCCAGCATGCTGTGACAGAGAGGTGACAGCAAGCCTGCAAAAGCAATCAAGGCGACAGCCATGGAGAATCCTTTCAGGCTGTTTGAAAGCTGATTGCTCCTGGGGAGATGAATGAACATATGCCAGGCCTGAAACAATGGACACCATTCGCGTACAAGAGGAGCTGCATCTGTGTCGCGAGGTGCTCCTGTGAAGCTAACTTTGCTGCACCAAATACTGCCTAGTGCTGGAATCTGTCAGGCTTTGCACGTCGTAGCCCACGACATTCAGGACAATTTGGGAATCGACAAGCTGCTTGAAGTTGCCATCACTGTCCAATCCATGCTCTCGAGGAACAATGGCACGAACGGCTGGAATTTGAGTGGGAGGCGCTGGAAGCGGAGCCTTGTGCCGGTGAGTTGGTTTCATCGTCTTTGCAGATTCTGCCGGAGGAGGAGGGCCAATGCCTTTCGAGCATGCAAGCAAGTTAAGCTGAGATCCCGGCCAACGAAGCTGAGGCACGACCAGTGACGGATCTGCGTAGTCTTGCGAAAGCTTCGCACGTCTTCGCATTCGTCTCACTGCCAAGCCCCTTGTGACAATGACCAGCATCGCAGAAAAGGTGCGCTGCGCTCGCGAGGCTTTGGGTGGCGCTTCTCTCCAGGCCTTGTGCGTTCTCCGGCAGGCCGCGGACCTGAGTCTGCGAGCTCGGCATGTTGGCGGCAGGCTGGGCTCAAGGTTGCTGCCATTGGGACACGTTGACGCACCTGAGAGAGGCAGTTGGCAGAGCTCCAGCCGCATGGTTTGGTTGGTTTTCTGCAATCTCCGGTTCCATTGGACTGGCGTGGATGAAGTTGCCGGTAGCGACTTAGTTCTGGTGGCAGTAGTGATGGGGGAATGGTAGGGGCGGGAGAATAGCAAGAGTCATAGTGATGGTGATGGGGCTGGCGGTGGTGGTGGTGGTGGCGGCGGCGGTCTTGGTGTAGTTTCAGCAGCAGCAGCTGCTGCCTCCGCCGCAGCGGCAACTAACTTCGAGCAGCAGTACTAGCAGAAATAGCACACGTAGCGGTAGCATTGCAGCAGCTGATGACGGTAGCAGTTTGCAGCAGCTGATGACGGCGTGGGCCTTGCATACCCTGTTGAGAATAAATGCAATGGCAGCAAAAACATCTACCTGCAAAAACATTTGCCTGCAAATCAAACTTCTCCAACACATGTCACACACGAGCGATTGGCAGCAGGCAGTTTCTGATTTGTCAACACTACTCATTAGCATCATGATGATTGGTATCCTCATGTTTGGCATTCATGCCATGGCACATCTTTGCATGTTCCATGCTCGAGCAATACCGGCCAGTCGCCTGATTGTCCTGGACCTGATTCGTGAGCATGGCAGCTTCAGCAGTACGCTCGAGGCCACAAGCCATGATGCCCTGCCTAGCGGGGTATTTGGGCACCACTCAGGCGGCGTATCGGTCCTTCTTGCAACCAGTGTGGGGCAGGCCAGTGATAGCGATGGCGCGCAAGGGCAAAAATCGACAAACAATGACTGGGAGGCTTCGAGTCTTGCAGCAGTACAATCCTAACACAGCCAGCACGCCCACAAGGCTTGTGAGTTCCAAATGCTCATGCAGAGAGGCTGAGCGTCTTGCTGCTGCTTTTTTTGCATGTCCTGCGGGCCATTGGAGGCTTGCAGACAGCATCCTGGAAGCCTTCTTCGGCCTTGAAGGCTTGGAATTCCAACATCCATAGACTCATTTTGACTGAATCCTGCAAGGGCACTTGACTCAGCTGGCCCTCGGAGTAGCCAACGCAAAGCCACGGATGCCAGAGGCAGTTGTGACAGGGAGGGACGGAAGTGACGTGAGCAATAATCCACAGTCACTGTAGCTCAGGGGATGCTAAGAAAATGACAATACTCGCCAACTTGAGGGGGTTGCCAACAAAATATAGTATGTGTTGGGGACACAATGAATATTGACCGAGGCTTCCGTGCGAGTGATGTGTGCTTTGTGTGATCTGCGCGAGTGCTATTTCCCTGTGCAGATCTGGATGGCTCGAGGCGCTGGTGTTGACACGCACAGGGAGCTCAGAGACTTTCCTGTTTTCCAAGTCCTGTCGCAGTGGCTCGAGCAGGGAGACAGGTTTAATGGATAAGATCTCAGCTTCTCAAACGCGTGGATTACAACTGACACAGTCAGAGGCTTTGTTACTGTCGATTCTGTTGAGCAATGAACGTCTCGTGCGCATGAGTAGCACCCCACTGCACCACGAATTGGACACATCCTTCACTGGCAAGCTTAGCTTTGACTATGATGTGGTCAGCGCGCCGCCTGGCCACGCCGTTGCCAGGCCTGTTGCAAACTTGCAAACTCTCAACTATCACGTTAAAAACCGAAGCCTTTGACTGTGACCCAGAATCGTGCAGCACTCTTAGCCTCTTGAGGACTTTGTTTTTCTTGTGCTTGGCTCACAGCCATAGGTGTCCTTTTTGGTTGATTTGGTTGAACAATAGAGGCTATTAGGGCCATTTTATTTTTTTTTAAAGGACACCTATGCTCGCAGCTTTTGGGATGGCGCTTCTCGCTACCAGGCTCGGCGAAGGCACTTTGATGGCAGAGGTGGAGCTGGACAGCGCCAGCGAGCACCTGCCGTTGGAGGTCGGGCCGGAAGGCGGGTTGGACAGAACGTGCTTGCAAAGGCTTGCCCTACCCAATACCCACCTGTTTTTGAGGGTATGATGTCGACCCTCTACTCAAGAAGGAGGTATTTGCAATGGAAACCCAGGTTTTTCCAAAAATACCCTAGAAAAAGTTGATATTTGGAGTAGGGGGTATGCCAAACTGGTCCCAAGAAAGTTGTTGCAAAGCCAGCCAAGGCTCCGATGAGCCGGGTGAAGACCCAGAGGTTGGCGAGAGGGAACCTCCAGATCTTTCAGAGCTGCCTCGTGGAATCTCTGGCGCGCCCTCTTCAGCCTTTTCTGGGAGCGTAGACATGACTGAGCCTTGACTGAAGTGAGAGTCTGGACAAGCACACTTCGAGATGGAAAAGGGAACGGTCGCGCGCTTAAATTAATTTCCTAGCGCGCAGACAACTGAGACATTTGTGTTTTATGTGAACCGATTTGAAGCACAAAACACAAATGTTTATGTGAAACCATTTGAAGCAGAAAACACAAATGTTTATGTGAACCCTTTTGCAGCAGAAAAGAATGCACGCTTCATGCAGAGGACCGACTTGACATGATTGACGCGCATCCAGACGATGGCTGCTACAGTTCAGGCAGGAAAGGGTTGGGTGTTCAGGCGGCGCGGGATCCACAATCGGGCTTCACACAGTGGCTACCACTAGGCCCATGGCCTCCCATATGGTCCGTTGTTGAGGGAGCACTTTTCGAGGTTGGTTTAAAGTTTAAAGGGCGACCAAGGAAGCCCACCATTTTGGGCGGTCCTCTAAAAAAAGGTCGCGCCCATGGGACCAAGACTCAGAGGCAGAAATAGCGTCGAAGACGCGGAGGACTTTTCTCGGCCGCGCCGGAGGCTCAGAGCGTGTGAGCAGGAGGCTAAACTCTCTCATCTAGAGATAAGCCCCAAAGACAAGTGTCAGACATCTTCAAGAACGATATAGTGAAACCCCAAGCTCGATAACTTCCCAATTGAAATCACCCAAAGCAGTCTTAGGTTTTGCCGCTCGCTCCCTTGCAAAACAGGTTTGGCTCTGAATTTTGATGGGGAGCCACCTCAAAAGTAGTGGACCGAAGGATCCCCAACTAAGTGATGTCCACCATTTTGGATCCCTCATTCAAGCCAGCGCGACTTCAAAGCTCAATTTGCGGGAGCCCAGGGCGCTCAGCCCACGTGCTGGCGTCCACGCGCTCATATTTGGCGGCCGACCGACGTCTGGCGGCACAAGCTGCCGTGGATTCCGCCGCACTGCGCTTCCGGCCGAGGTGTTTGGGCTGGAGGGATGGGAACCACTGGCCCGCGTGTACCAACGCGCTGGCTATGTGTTCGAGAGACGTTTGTTTTTACCCTCAAGTTGCAGTTGAGCAGGGCGCGCCGTTTCTATTTTTGCCGGTTTGAGGTCCGTGAGGTACAAGGGATGACCATTGGGGGAAACCACCAAAAAGGATGACATTTCCCACTAAATGGGAAAGTGACCCATGGTCATTCCATGGGGTTACCCATGGGAAACACTGGGGGCCGAAGCTCAACGGATTTGGCTGTGGGTCAAAAATGGGTACCCAAAAGGGAACCCTGGTAAACTGGTTTAGTTTTACCCATTTTGGATCAAGCCCTTGAGGTCCAGCGCCACCTTCAAGAGCCCCCGGCGCCGGGCGGAAGAGTATCTGGCCGGTCCCTCGCCGGTGCGGAGTCCTCCAGTGGTCCGGCAAGGGGCCCAGGCCTGGCATCAGGGCCTGGCCAGGCAGAAGGCGGAAGTGGAGGCGTCCGTGCAGGACTACCGGAGGCTGCTGCTGAAGTCTCTCAAGATCTTATCCCAGGCCGGGTTTGCCTTTTTTTTTTGGATTTCTGTGAAAGCCAGAAAGGCTGGCGCGGTTGTTCTTCCAATGGAACGGCTGATTTCTTGAGGTTTCCCATTTCGAGACACGTGAGGCAAAGTCTGCCCTCTTTGATGCCGATGAGCGGCATTTGGACGAGGGCAAGGGAGCAGAAGTTATGCTGCCTGATGCGGGATCCTGAGAGGTCCAACACATTTCGATGTCAAAAGGTGCTGTGCACAAGGTCGGGGGTCATCTACCCTTGATAACCCAAGGGTTCCAAGCGGCGGAACACATTCTTGGAGCCAGCCTTTTCCCAAAACTTGCGCCCGAGGTGTGGGAGGTGCTTCACTCTTTGCTTCAGGGAGATCTCGGCCATGCTGCAGCTGTGCAGCCCAAAGCCGAAGACGCAGCTCGCGTTCATCAGGACGGGTGAGCACAACCCCCGCCCGTGGTTTTGCACGGGTTCTATTGCCTGTTTCATAGGGAAATCACATTGATAAAATATATATATATATACAGACGTTATGTGTATATATATATATACTTTACAGCCTCCGGCTCAGTCCGCCGACATTGTCCTCTCCCTGTTTTCCTTCTGCCTCTCTCCCTTGTCTCCCTTGTGTGTTCTGTCGTCCTCTCTCCCTCCCTCTGCTCCCCATCCTCCCCATCCCCCCAAGCCTCTCTATGCCTAATCTCCCTCTCTGGTATGTATGTATGCATATATATATATATATGCGTGTGTATGTCTGTCTGTCTGTCTGTCTGTCTGTCTGTCTGTCTGTCTGTCTGTCTGTCTGTCTGTCTGTCTGTCTGTCTGTCTGTCTGTCTGTCTGTCTGTCTGTCTGTCTGTCTGTCTGTCTGTCTGTCTGTCTGTCTGTCTGTCTGTCTGTCTGTCTGTCTGTCTGTCTGTCTGTCTGTCTGTCTGTCTGTCTGTCTGTCTGTCTGTCTGTCTGTCTGTCTGTCTGTCTGTCTGTCTGTCTGTCTGTCTGTCTGTCTGTCTGTCTGTCTGTCTGTCTGTCTGTCTGTCTGTCTGTCTGTCTGTCTGTCTGTCTGTCTGTCTGTCTGTCTGTCTGTCTGTCTGTCTGTCTGTCTGTCTGTCTGTCTGTCTGTCTGTCTGTCTGTCTGTCTGTCTGTCTGTCTGTCTGTCTGTCTGTCTGTCTGTCTGTCTGTCTGTCTGTCTGTCTGTCTGTCTGTCTGTCTGTCTGTCTGTCTGTCTGTCTGTCTGTCTGTCTGTCTGTCTGTCTGTCTGTCTGTCTGTCTGTCTGTCTGTCTGTCTGTCTGTCTGTCTGTCTGTCTGTCTGTCTGTCTGTCTGTCTGTCTGTCTGTGTCTGTCTGTCTGTCTGTCTGTCTGTCTGTCTGTCTGTCTGTCTGTCTGTCTGTCTGTCTGTCTGTCTGTCTGTCTGTCTGTCTGTCTGTCTGTCTGTCTGTCTGTCTGTCTGTCTGTCTGTCTGTCATGTATGTGTATGTATGTATGTCTGTATGTGTGTATGTGTGTATGTATGTAATGTAATGTATGTATGTATGTATGTATGTATGTATGTATGTATGTATGTATGTAATGTAATGTAATGTAATGTAACGTAACGTAACGTAACGTAATGTAATGTATGTATGTATGTATGTATGTATGTATGTATGTATGTATGTATGTATGTATGTATGTATGTATGTATGTATGTATGTATGTATGTATGTATGTATGTAATCTATGTATGTATGTATGTATGTATGTATGTATGTATGTATGTATGTATGTATGTATGTATGTAATGTATGTATGTATGTATGTATGTATGTATGTATGTATGTATGTATGTATGTATGTATGTATGTATGTATGTATGTATGTATGTAATGTATGTATGTATGTATGTATGTATGTATGTATGTATGTATGTATGTATGTATGTATGTAATGTATGTATGTATGTATGTATGTATGTATGTATGTATGTATGTATGTATGTATGTATGTATGTATGTATGTATGTATGTATGTATGTATGTATGTATGTATGTATGTAAGGAATGTAATGAATGTAATGTATGAAATGAATGCAATGGATGAATGTATGAAAGACGTCCAAAAACATGGAGTTTGTCCAGATTTTTGGCAAAAGGATGTAGGAAGCCCAAGCCAGCAAAAAAGCCGGCAGGGGGAATCGAGCCTGGGACCCCTGTTTTGCGACACCGGCTCCCCGAAGACTACGTTTAGTGGAACGTCATCAAATTGCCGCGCGGTACGCGGGGGAGGGGGGGGGGGGGTGGCGACCGAAAAACCATGCGTATTTGACGTGTCCCGGGGGGGGACTAAGGGGGGGGTTATCCTCTATCCTCCTTAGGTATCCAATAGTCCTCTCTTAGGTATCCGACACGCCGAGCAATGTCGGCGGATATATATGCACATACATACTCATCTTGCAGACAGGTTGCGTTTGGGTAAAGTTGCAGGAGGCTGGGACCTCTTTGCACCACTTCAGGAGCTCAAGGCCAAGCTGCGGGTCAGCTCGGCCGCCCTGGAAGTCGAGGCCGATTTGAGTGTTTCTTAGTTGGGCGGTTTGAAAGGGAAGCCTCGGACCCTGCCCTGAGCAATGTGCTCGTTGATCTAAGCTCCCAGCCTCCACCGGAGGGGTCGGCGACGCAAGCAGGCGACCCTGGCGGCTTGTGATGATCTGCGGGGTCACATCGAGGAGGCGATCTCTTTTTTTTGGCCTGGGCGTCTGTCTTTCGAGGGTCGTTTTCCTTTTTGTGGGTCTTCTGGAGAAAGTGGAAAAGAAGCCACTCATTTCGAGGCCCTGGACACTTTCGAGGGTGTGTTTCAAAATGCCGCAATTTCCCCCTGTGATTTTGGTGACTTCCGAGGTCCAGAGCCGCCTGTCGGAGGTCCGGGGCAAAGCCAAACTCCGGACCATGAACAAGGCGGGGGACCCGAAATCAGTCGGATTTTGCATCCAGATGTCAGAGGTTAGTTAAAATGTCGGTCACCTACAAGGTTTGCTTTTGGCGTCCCTTTCCCTTTGTAATCCAGAGCACGGGCAGTTCATGGCCCCTCGTTTCCCTGTAAAAGCCGGTTGGACCCTCCAGGCTAGGGATGCGTCAGCTTTCATTCGGATGCGCTGGAGCCAGATACTTGAGAAATCACCATATTGCATATGGGTATGTGGGTGGCTCGTGTCTTTTTCCGGGACCCCCAAAAAGGCAGACCCATGTCCCAACCCTGTGGGCCAAAAGAAGCCATCCGTTTGGGAGTCGTAACCGCAGGCCCAGGCCCACAATCTCATCCGCTCCTTCACGGCGGTTCTGCTGCCAAAGCGCCTGGCAGCGATGGGGGAAGCGAAGGAAGTGAGCGTTTTTCTTCACTGTTCTTCATGTTAGCAGGGGGCCGCAAAAAGAAACAACGTTTTTGCTGCCATACCAAGAGGTTGCGACGTTTTTTTGAAGGCGTCCGGACGCCTTTTCCACAGAGTGTTTTCCCTTTGCTCGGAGATCTCTTGAAACGGATTCGTCTGGAGGAACCCTTGGAGTGATCTGCATGAAATGTCCCGACCCACCTTTGGAGTTCTTGCCGAGTTTTGCTTCAGAAAAGTGTTTATTGCACGAGTCTCCTTGCATAGTGTCGACTTTGGATGATACCATCCGGACCATACTAGTCCGAGGATCGCCCCTCATGATTTAGTGTCCCATCGAACTATGCAAATACCCCCTGCGTAGTACTCTTCTTCGGATGACTCGGAAGATTGGATTGAACGTTGTCAGGCTGCCAGAGCTGACCATGACAGCGGAAGACGAGAGGACAGACTAATGTGCCCTCAGGGAGTTCCAGCCTGTCCCTATTGCTTTAAGTGCCCACTTCCTTTGACTTGCTTGACAGGACTACATACGAGACAGCCACGATCCGTTTTCTGCAGGCTGACAGCGGCCTGGGCAACCTGTTCAATTGAGGTTTATGTGTGAATGACAGTCTTCTTGAGAAAGCAAGTGAGAGAAAGTTTGCTGACATGCAGCTTGCAGGCTGCACAAGCCACAAAGAGCTCACCACAGGATTCCTCTTCCACTCGAGGATGGGATGATTTGACAAGGACAATTCAGGGCATGTGCTGTTGTCACTGCGTCTAGGACAGTCGGCCTTGGAACAATTGCGTGCTGAGTCTTGCCTGCATTGTGCTGGGGCAAGGTTGGACAGCTTGGCAGGTGCACTGCACTTTACATATTAACATCCAAGGCTCGAGACAAGCAATGACCTCCACTCGTACTCGTGAGAGCAAGACGCGCCTCAGAAAAGTTGCAAGCGCGCTAGAGCCAATCAAGCCAAGCTAGCAGCACTCAGCCACATTCGCTTGACAGGCAGGATCCAGGCGCGACGAGAGCTGCGCGCCAGCGATCTTGGCTTCAGGCCAGCCAGTTGTTTGTGCGCATCGATTGGGGCAGGGGCTTTCGCTGTTAGGCTGGCCGGCAATGAGCGCAGACATCAGTTTGAGGGTATCACCTGTGCCCAAAAGGGTGTGTCTTTTGTGAGGTTGAACCTCCCAAAATGGTGGGCTTTCCTTTTGGTTTCCCTTTAAAAACCAACCGGAAGGGGCCAACTCCAACAACAGACGAGCCCCCAAAAGGCAGGCGCCAGGTCCCACAAAGTAAAGCTGTTGAAAGGAGAGATCCAGCGGCCAAAGCGCTCGCTGCCTGGTCCTCCTATAGGCGCGTGCGGATTGTTTGTGATGTGATGCGATGCGATACAATGCAAAGTGATGGAATTCAATGTTTGTTCATGACCTGAAGTGTACTGTAATAATATTGTCTAATGTGAGCAATGAAATGTTATGCAATTATGCTGGATGTTCAAGCATAGGACACGGCTGAACGTATTAAGTATCCACTTCCTCGGATTTCACTGTGCTTTCTTGGGACTGTCGCTGGGTTCTTTGCAGCATTTCTCTCAGATCTCAATCCACAAGGCTACGGCATCTTGGCGGCGAGCGAGTCCTGGGACACTGCAGCCGCATGGTGGGGAAGTGCTTATTGCCGGCGGCCGCCTTAGATGCCCCATGTGTTTCTTCAGTGGAGCTTTGTGGGAAATGAGGTGTTTGTTGAACATGATCGTTCGCCACATTGTGAGCGACAAGCCTTGTTGACTTTATTCATAATGCTTTCTCTTGAATCACAAATGATATCAAATTGATATTATTCAATTTTGACCTGCTAATTTCCTTTATTTCATATCTAAAATTAAAGGGCCGGACAACTCCACATGCCTAGCCTTACAAAACACAGGTCCGCGTGAACCGGAAGCATGCACGGTATCCCGCGAGATGCAGTGAGCGCGAGTCAATTTCCCGCTAGATGCGGTGAGCGCGAGTCAATAGAAGCAGTGAGTGCGAACGTCTGCGTGGTGTGTTATCTTTTCTCGTTGTCGCGTCATCTTTTCTCGGTGTGACACATGTCTGGCAGTCGCAGCACAACTTCTTTTCTCACAAACGGTTCGTGTTGAGTGAGAGCGAGAGAGCGTGAATGAGTGCAAGTGAGTGTGGGTATTAGACAGCTGCCATATGTCGCCCCTGCCACACAGCCGCAAAATCTGCGAGCCATCTCCAAAGTGCTGCGCCTGTCACGCGGTTTGAGCCCTCGGGCCGCGCGCTCTCGACAACGTGCCAAAGTGATGGGTGAGTGACTGTGAATGAGTGTGAGCGAGCGAGCGAGTGAGTGAGCGAGTGAGCGAGTGAGCGAGTGAGGGAGTGAGCGAGTGAGCGAGTGAGCGAGTGAGGGAGTGAGTGAGCGAGTGAGTGAGTGAGTGAGTGAGTGAGTGAGTGAGTGAGTGAGCGAGTGAGTGAGAGTGAGTGAGTGAGTGAGTGAGTGAGTGAGTGAGTGAGTGAGAGTGAGTGAGTGAGTGAGTGAGAGAGAGAGAGAGTGAGTGAGTGAGTGAGTGAGTGAGTGAGTGAGTGAGTGAGTGAGTGTGAGTGAGTGAGAGTGAGTGAGTGAGTGAGTGAGTGAGTGAGAGTGAGTGAGAGTGAGTGAGAGTGAGTGAGTGAGAGTGAGTGAGTGAGAGTGAGTGAGAGTGAGTGAGTGAGTGAGAGTGAGTGAGTGAGTGAGTGAGTGAGTGAGTGAGTGAGTGAGTGAGTGAGTGAGTGAGTGAGTGAGTGAGTGAGTGAGTGAGTGAGTGAGTGAGTGAGTGAGTGAGTGAGTGAGTGAGTGAGTGAGTGAGTGAGTGAGTGAGTGAGAGTGAGTGAGTGAGAGTGAGTGAGTGAGAGTGAGTGAGAGTGAGAGTGAGTGAGTGAGTGAGTGAGTGAGTGAGTGAGAGTGAGTGAGTGAGTGAGTGAGAGTGAGTGAGTGAGTGAGTGAGAGTGAGTGAGAGTGAGTGAGAGTGAGTGAGTGAGTGAGTGAGTGAGTGAGAGTGAGTGAGAGTGAGTGAGTGAGTGAGTGAGAGAGAGTGAGTGAGTGAGAGTGAGTGAGTGAGTGAGTGAGTGAGTGAGTGAGTGAGTGAGTGAGTGAGTGAGTGAGTGAGTGAGAGAGTGAGTGAGAGTGAGTGAGTGAGTGAGAGTGAGTGAGTGAGTGAGTGAGTGAGTGAGTGAGTGAGTGAGTGAGTGAGTGAGTGAGTGAGTGAGTGAGTGAGTGAGTGAGTGAGAGAGTGAGTGAGTGAGTGAGTGAGTGAGTGAGTGAGTGAGTGAGTGAGTGAGTGAGTGAGTGAGTGAGTGAGTGAGTGAGTGAGTGAGTGAGTGAGTGAGAGTGAGTGTGAGCGTGAGTGAGCGTGAGTGTGAGCGTGAGTGTGAGTGTGAGTGTGAGTGTGAGTGTGAGTGTGTGAGTGTGAGTGTGAGTGTGAGTGGAGTGAGTGTGAGTGTGAGTGAGTGAGTGAGTGTGAGTGTGAGTGTGAGTGTGAGTGTGAGTGTGAGTGTGAGTGTGAGTGTGTGAGTGTGTGAGGGTGAGGGTGAGGGTGAGGGTGAGGGTGAGGGTGAGGGTGAGGGTGAGGGAGGGTGAGTGAGTGTGAGTGTGAGTGAGTGTGAGTGTGAGTGTGTGAGTGTGAGTGTGAGTGAGAGATGAGTGAGAGTGAGTGAGAGTGAGTGAGAGTGAGAGTGAGAGTGAGTGAGTGAGTGAGAGAGAGAGTGAGAGTGAGAGTGAGAGAGAGAGTGAGAGTGAGAGTGAGAGTGAGAGTGAGAGTGAGAGTGAGAGTGAGAGTGAGAGTGAGAGTGAGAGTGAGAGTGAGAGTGAGAGTGAGAGTGAGAGTGAGAGTGAGAGTGAGAGGGAGGGAGGGAGCGAGCGAGCGAGTGAGTGAGTGAGTGAGTGTACATTTTGAGATAAAAGACGTGTCGAGCGATGCATAGAAGTGCCCTTTAGAAGTATTGATCAGAAATGTGGTTAGAGTTTTCGATTAGTGTAGAAATGTCGTTTAGAAATATCGATTAGAAAGGTTGATTATTATACTGTTGTTTAGAAGGTGTTGAATAGAAATAACGATTTCTAATGTTATATAGAAATACCTGGAAACCCATATGTGACGTTTTTTTCTGTCCATACGGCTTGGGCTATAAAAAAATGACCATACGGTCATTTACGGTTTTTTGTCAACAATTTGTTGAAAAAATACGGGTTGCATACGGCCAAATACGGCTACCGGCCAGCAAAAAATGACCATACGGGAAAAATGATCCAAATACGGGTTCCGTCCCAAAAAAAACGGCCATACGGCTTTCCAGGTATATTTTAGAAGAATTGATTATAATATGCTTTAGAAATATCGAATAGATATAGTTTTTATTATTTTTTTAAATAATTAGATATTTTATTTGAAAACAATGGTTGGAAGTAATGCTCGAAAATGTATTTTAGAAATATTGTTTAAAGAATATTATATTAATTAAATATATTATTTAAAAATATTGTTTAGAAATCTTAATTTGAATTGTTATTCGGAAAATTGTATTTAGAAATTTCGATTAGATATATATTTAATATAATTTAGGGACATTTTTTGTTGTTGAATGAAATTTAGATTTGTAATTTTACTTAAAAACCATGATTTTATAATATATGAATTTAGGTTTTTAGTTTTATTTTTTTTTTAAATTCTGATTAAATTCTTTACAATTTTGTGATATAAATATGATATATAATTGATTTGAAATATATATTTAATAGGTGAAATATAGGTGCTTAATATTAATTAGAAACTTATAATTTTGTAATACAATTATAATATATAAAAAATTCGATTTTTGAAAATTATAATTTTAAAGTAATAAATCGAAGATGCAAAATACAATTTATTTATATAATTGATTTAGCTTATTTATTTATACTATGAAATATTTTTTTTATTTTTTTGGGATTATGTAAAATAATACATATAATTTGGTGAATGATACTTATCTATCATATATAATCGTTACATTTCGTTCGAAATTTATGTATATTATGCACCGCGCACACGTGCGCAAAGCCTATGCACACGTGCACAAAGCCTGTGCGCATTGTTTCGCGATATCCGTATACGAACGTTTCGTTCGCAATATGTTGAGTAGTTTTTCTTTTGTGTTTGTCTGTGTTTTGAGAATGTGTTATTATATGATTTTGTGGTTCTATGTTTCTGTCTTTATGAGGTTTTGGGATTATGTGTTTCCATATTTTAAGATTCTAGGTTTTTGTATGTTTGTATTTTTGTGATTCAGAGTTTTTGTATATTTGTGTATTTGTAATTGTGTTTTTGTATAGTTGTGTTTTTTGTTTTTATGGTTTTGTGGTGGCGCGATTGTGTGGTTGTGTGGTTGTGTGTATGTGTGTGTGTGTTTGTTTTTGTGTGTTTTTATGTGGTTTTGTGGTTGTATATTTTTATATAATTAAATTGTTCTATGTTTTGTTTTTGTATTATTTGTTTTATATTTTATATATTTTGTTTTATTATAATATATTTTTATAGTTAATATTTATTTATTCGGAAATTCTTTTTTAAGGGATATTTTATGCTTAGATTCTTTTGTGTTTACTAGCGTTTTAGCACCCACGTTTAATATCCAGCAATCGGCCTTTAGAAAATCGTTTTTTCAGGGTAAATTAAATTTAAGGGTTAATAAAATTCTCAAAATAGATTTTAAACAAACGATTTAAGAGAACAAACGAACCAAATCCCAATCGGGGAAACTTCAAAATACAAAAACTAAAATCACTCAAGTCTAAGAAATAACAACTCGTTCACCACGATGTCTACCGCTATTGTTATATCCCCCTCCCCTAGAAATCTTTTCTCGTGGAATCCTCTATTAGAGCTAGGACCGAAAAAAACCAAAAAAATCCACCAAATGGGGAAATAAACTTAAAAAAATTACATTCTACATCTTGCGAGTTTATTCAATTCCTATCCAAGTAGTCGCAAAACCCGTCGTCCTGCCCCAAAAAAACATGGCTGCCTAGCACAAAACCCGGGCATCGTATGCGCGCGATGTTCGTTTCTTCGTTTTACGCGTAGATTTCTTCATCCCGAGTGTCTAACAAAACCTATCTGCCAAGTCGGAGAAGCTTTAGGTCAGAAGCCCCGAGTTTCTTTGGCAAAGAAATAGTCCGACGTTCACCCCTTGGGTGGAAAATTGGCCTTGAAAGAATATGCTTCTTGAGAATGACACAGCTGATATATTCTTCAGAACATGGAAGTTTGCGATGCCAAAACGGTTGTCGCCCTTCGCTCAGCACGCTTTAAGCGCCCAGAAAAAGCAGAACGGCCCCATGTTACAAGAGCCCCAGATTCAAGCTCACCTAGCTGCTGTCTCCGCCATACTCTGGATCACCCCAGGTCACAACAGCCCCACTTTCAAGAGTGGCAGCAAAAGCAGTGGCAGTTGCTTGGACGTGCTGCACGTTCCTCAGCTGCTCTTGCACCCGGCTGCTGTCTCCGCCATACTCTGGATCACCCCAGGTCACAACAGCCCCACTTTCAAGAATGGCAGCAAAAGCACCGGCAGTTGCTTGGACGTGCTGCACGTTCCTCAGCTGCTCTTGCACCCGGCTGCTGTCTCCGCCGTATCTTCGAGCACCCCAGGTCACAACAGCCCCACTTTCAAGAATGGCACCGAAAGCACCGTTGGCAGTTGGTTGGATGT